TGTGTCTGTCCTCTGATGTACTGGTGTCCTGTCCAGGGTGTACCCTGCCTTGTGCCTGACGCTTGCCGGGACAGACTCCAGCTCCACCCTGACCCACAACTGGAAGAAATGGTTAGAAAATGGGTGGATGGATGAAACCTGCACTAACAGTCACCCTTGGCTACACGGTAAGTAGTGAAATTCCCTTTAAAAACCTGCAAGACTGCAGCACTCTCTGGGATCAGAGGATGAAAACAAAGATTTTGCTTTTCAAAACCTAAACTGTACCATTCGAAGCAGAAATAAATTTTGTTTGCAAAGCTACAAGTCTTTGGTTCAGTCAAAACGGTTTTAAGACACAAGATTATTGGCCATTTTTGCAGGGGTAGGGCTAGATAGAAATTTACTTCAAAACCGCTCCGTCGAGCTCACAGCTCCTCCTTGTGGTTGAGGTTTTTATCGCCCACATTTTTTTTAATGTCTCCAAGACCCCTTGAGTCTTAACAAATTAAACCAAAACAGCTTTAGGATGTATAAAAACAATGTATCCTTTAATAAACAAACACGCAACAGCCTTAAAACAAATTAACAGTAACAGAAAAGCTTACGTTCGCCTAAGTATAATGGAGACGTTTCTTCCGAGTAAAATAAAGTCTAGACACTGGTGTCCCCGGGGTCCTGTGGAGACATGTCCCAGGTCACTTACCTGTGTCACCCGGGCGACAGGCCACCGTGTTTCCGGTTCACACTACTGAAATACGTTTTAGCAATCAACAAGACGAAGTAAAAACTCGGTGCCTAAAATCAACAGTAAAACAAATTAGACTGGAAAAAAAACCATTAAACTGTTTTGTTTTTTTGTTTTTAAATACATTGAACTTTAATGCTTTCGTGGCATTTAACGCAAACTGCCCGGAGAGGCAAGTGGGTTAATCTTTCCGACAAGACCAAACGTAGCTCAAAGCTCAACGTGATCGTTAAAGCCCCCCACTGGTTTCTCGCTTGCATACGGGACTGTGAACTCCTAGCCCCACTTTTTCCATCTCAGCAGCCCTCCCTACCTTTGATGTCCATCTCCTTCCGACACCAGCTGATAAAGTTGGACACGTTATCCCTCGCCAGGAAGGTCGCCGCCTGCGCGGAGCTGACGAAAGTCACCCCGGACGTGGGCAGCCGCATCTTCAGCGCCCCAGCGCCGTACTGGCGGAGAAACTCCCCGGCCACCCGGGTCACCTGGTTGGCGTGCTGGCACAGCAGCGAGCCCGTCTCCAGCACCTCCAGGAAGCCGTCCACGGCGATGCTGATGCCGTACAAGTCCGTCAGCCACTCCGCCAGGTCCTCCTTCATGGCGTACAGGTACTCCTCGCTGGACTTGAACGGCTTGATGCTGCGGTTGGTGGCGGTGTGGATCCCCGACATCCTCTGGCGTTTCAAGCAGCGCGGTTATTTACTCGGACGCCAGCTCAGACTGAGGGATGGGAGCAGTGCGCTCACGTACTCCGTTTGCATTTCGTCGGAAAAGAAAGAAAAAAAAAACAGAGGCACCTGTTGCTGTGGGCCAGTGATGTGATTTTTTTTTTTCAGGGGGCAACGCGAACAACGCGACAAGACAGAACAAACAAACAAACAAACAAACAAACAAACAAACAAACAAACAAAAACGCAAACTTGCACTTCTCTGCGCGCACCCACGGGAGAAAGTGTCCGCGTCGCGGAGTCACATTGCGCCCCGTCCTGGTGGTAGGGTTGGGTGACACAGCCCTTCAAAAGATCAACGCCGAGCTACAGCTCGCAGCCAAACCACTGTCCGGCGGGATGACTTGCAACGCGTTGGGGCATTTAGCCAAACCGTTTCCCTTTCCTTCGTCGAAAGTCGTCGGGCTTTAAGGACGCCAAGCACGGTGGCCGGGTGTTTGTATCGCACCGCGTGTGTTCCGTGAAAGCGCGTCTCCCTCGGACGGGACCCCAGGACGCCCCTCCGCTGGCTCTCCGTGTTTGTTTCGCAGTGCTGCTCGGCTGGCGCTCCTAGGTTACCAGAGGGCTTGCTGCAAACATCCTCTTTAACCGTTTCACCGCCAGGCCTGCTCCTAGCACTGCCACCCTCCCAGAAACAGAAACTTAACTTCTCACACACAGGAGGACACGACTACTGCACCTGTCCTATTTTCGCCTTGGGAACCCATGTCAATGTCCAGAAGATTCATAATTTTTTTTTTTAAAAGTGTCTGAAATGAAAAATTCACCTCCGCTTTTAACTTTGCTTTTTTTTGTGTGTGTGAAACACACACACACACACACACAAAATGAATTCAAGCCACAAAGGTTGAGAGATCAAACTCATCAGCGCTGAATTCTGCGAGAGTTCACCCGTTGGAGTTGAATACATTGAAGACGTCGCTTGTCGGTTAGAGGTTTCCTCACTGAAATGGATTCAGGTTAATCAATCTTGGGAACCAGGACAAAATACCGTATATTGGGTGTTGGGACTTGAGGACTCCTTGAATACCCTTACTCTAGGTGCTACTGGCTGCACTTACCATGCTACGGACACTATTCTACATTAAGGTTAAGTGCTATTCTGGTAACATTCTTCAAGCATGGCCTAACCACAGCCACAGGGTTTATTTCAAGAGTACCTACATCACCTGGATACAGTCTTGAAGAGCTTGTTTTCACTTTATAGGCAGCCTCCAGGCTAGGCCCAAAAATCTCCTATTTGCCTAAAAGGAACAGATATGTTGGGATATGAACTGGAAATCCCTGCAAAAACAAAACCACAATTTGTCCCAACAGCACACAAAGAGACTGTCACCGGTGAAACTCAAGACTCAAAAGGCACCCCAACACCAGATCAGAAAACATAGGCTGTTTATTGATGATATAACTTATGTTCTTTTTTTTTTTGGACAGTAACAAAGAGCTACACCATGGCAGACAAGGGGAGTAGAATTTCAGTTCTACAAGTGCGTGGCGTCCGTGAAAGTGACTTCATGACATAAATAACGACGAGCTCAGCAGCCTGCAGGCAGGCTCACTTCATGTTCTTGACAAACTCCTCTCCTTTCTTGATGGAGGCCTTCAGCTCTGCCATTGCCTCCGCCACCAGCTTCTCCTCGAAGGCAGACAGCTTGCCCAGCCCCAGATTCTTCTCAATGCCATTTTTCTGAAGGGAAAAAAGAAATACCACCACATTCTTCACAAACCTGAGCGGGAGAAATGCAGCCGTCTCAACCTTGAAAGGAATTCTCCGCCACTCTCTCCCAGCTCTCGCTGGCATTTCCCCAGATATGGACGTGGAGAAGATACCATATTCTTGAGAATGGCCGGCCATAATTGCACTGGCCATCCATTTTCTCATCACTGCGGGGGAGCTGGATATCCAAGCAAGCAACGGATGCAAGGCAGGATACACCCTGGATGGGACGCCAGTCCACCACTGAGCAGACACGCTCATACCAGGGACAATTTTATAAGAAGCAAATTAACCTATTGGTATATTTTTGGACTGTCGGGGGCAACTGGAGCACCCAGGGGAAACCCCCACGAACCCGAGAAGAACATGCAGACTCCACACAGACAGTACCCCCAGCCCTGCCCTCGTCACTGCACTATTTCAGCCACAATATCATCTCGCCCTTTTTGCACCAAGGAAACGGGACGTACCCCGAGCAGAAGAGGCGTGGAGAAGTAGGGGGACTCCGTCTCCTCCGACCTCACGAAAGAGCATTCCACGACGCCCTCCTTGCCGTTCATGGCGTCCAGCAGGGAGAAGACGAACCTGGCGCCGGCGTAGGCCATGGACAGCGTGGCAGACCCTGTGGCAGGAGGGCACAAAACGATTATGGGGGCGTCGAGCACGTCTTGCGCCCGTGAAAAACAATTAATATAGCATCCCACACACGACCGGAACAGACTCCGAAACTCCCGACTGTTATTCAGGACTACAGACTAGTTTCTCGATATCGATTTCCCCTACACAGCAGAAGCGGGCGAGAGATGGTTTAGTTTAAAGCAATGCCACCAGAAACGCCCATCGCTCTGCCCTACAGCACACAAGCAGCTGAACTCACCAGCTCCCGCCTTCGCCTTCACCACCTCCGTACCGGCCTCCTGAATCCTGAGTGTCAGGGCGGTCAGCTTGTCCTCAGGGAACTCCACCTTGGGCGTGCACTGAAACAAAGAGCGAACAGCGAACATTTAATCAGCGAGTCGGCAAGAAAGTGACCGTGAGGGAGGAACCGTCTCTGAGGAACAGACAAAACTACATCTTCTCCACCACCGAGATCAGTCCCAGCAAGGACACAAGCCTCAGATCGGAAGGGAATTATTCCACACTTCAAAGCCGTGCTTGCAATCACTCAGCCTTCAAACAAAAGCTTCCCTATGGCCACCCTTGCAGGAGAGCACCCTGCACAGCAGAGCCGCGATCGCCTGGCCCTTCCCAGAAGCCTACCTGAGAGATGAGAGGGATGATGGTCTTTCCTGCATGACCTCCTACCACAGGCACGTTGACCCTTGCTGGGTCTAGGCCCTGCAAGAGAATCATTTACCTCCGTCAGACTCAGACATCCCCAAATTAAAAATCAGGGGGCAGATGAAACAATATTCCAAACAGCTGTCCACCATATGACAAATGAAACACTGTAATTTTTAATGTTTCAGGCTCTTTCGTCAGATTCTGAAGGCAAGTGTTGTGGCACTTGGGTAGGGAAAGGGGCGTGTGCTGAAGTGAGCACAGTGATTGGTCAGGACTGCTTGGATTCCAGGCCTCAGAAAAGGGTGTGTGTGATTGGTTGGTGTGGTTGCCGTGGGTGACAGTATATAGAGTTGCTGATCCCATGTGTGGACCTCAGGTTGGGAGGATGCTGCGATCCCCTGATGGACCTGAAAGCGAGCATCATTCTGTAAGGAGGTCAAATAATAGGGGTGCTGTCACAGGCTCCCCCTTTCTGAGCAATCACCTGGGACCCAGAACCTAGTCGAGGTTAGGCTCAGCCAGTATACAACAGAAAGGGGGAAAAAATGCTGCCAATTTCTTTACAAAGCAGTCAGCAGGAGCACAATAAGAACTATACACAGCAAATATTTTAGCTCAGGAGCTAGACCCCTTTTTCTCTTAATTCCTTGTGCTCCTGCTGGCTGCATCATGAATAAATCAGCATCTCTATTATCTGTTTTGTTGTGGACTGGCTGCGCCTGCCTTCTGTCAGGTACTGGGCCCAAGGTGATTGCTCAGAAAGTGGGGAGTTGTGACAGGAGCCCTGTTGAACTTTTGAGCCCATGAGCACGTCCCTCACTTCACCCACACCATCATATACATCTATACAAGAAAGTCTTTACCGCTGTCCGATTTTAGCTACTGTATTGTTTTGGATACGAAGTTGTTTGATTTCATTCCGTATTTTATTTTGCTTAATTTGGGGTGCTTTATTGGAATGCACTTTGAGAGGATTTTATGAAAAGTGCAGGATCAAGCGTTAACATCCTCTTCATCATCAAGAGATGTGCTTTGTAGCTGTGAGCACCTGAAACGGGCTTGATTTCTCACGGTCACCCAAGGGAAAGAGGGAGCTTCTCACCGAGGCCGTTTTGTTGTGGACAAAACAGTAGAAAACAGTAGACCTCTATATAAGTCTCAGGCAGTAGAATGTAATCCTTACTTTCAGCTCTGCCACAAAGGTGTTGGCTCTCACAATGTCCAGCGTCGTCACTCCAAAAACCCTGTTGGGGTTGTAGACTCCGTGCTTCTTGAACACCTCCGAGGTAATGGGAATAGTGGAGTTCACCTACGGAAAACCTCCATTAGTCTGGCGTGGGAGCTGTGGTACAAGGTCCCTGTGCTTTGCACTAAAAAATTCCATCTGCAAATAACACACCGTCGCAGTTTTTATTTTTAATTATAAAGAAAATAATTAGTTTAATATTTAGTGCACTAGAAAATCTACCCCTGCAAGAAACAAGCAAATTCTCAGAGGTTCAGATTACCTTAGAGGACTGCAAGAGTGTTCAGGTGTTTGTGGCATGCTCTAACAAAGTTTAACTCGGTAAAACAAAGGAAATTTGGGTTCGCAATTATTTACTTAAGGATTTATTTAAGATTTAAAATCACCAAGCCACTTTTGGATTAAACCGTTGGACCCTATCTTGCTTTTCCAATGTTAAATTTCAGCTGTTTTTTTTTTTTTTTTTTTTAAACAGCCCACTGTGTGGAAAAGGGCTCGGCCACCTGGTCCTCACCCTAACCCTCGTCAGGAATCATGACTTGTTCGCAGTGCCGCGGGTGGACTCACAGGATTGGCAATGACGCAGATCATGGCCTCGGGGCAGTGGCGGGCACAGGCGTCGGCCAGGACCGCCACGATCGTGGCGTTGGTGTTGAAGAGATCATCGCGAGTCATGCCTGGAACACACAGCAAAGGATTTCAGGGGAACACCTGGACCACCTGGTCGGCTATGTGTGAGGGATTGCATCTAAAAGTTTACTGCACATGACATTTCACATCTCACATGGAAGACTCTACAGGAGCCTAGAGCCTGGGCGACGATCTCTCGGCACGCTGTCAAGGAGGAGGACAGGACTGCAAGCACCGTGCGTGAGAAAAGAGCGGACTGCGGCGCACACGTCCACACACCTGGTTTCCTGGGGACCCCTGCAGGAATCACCACAACCTCACTGCCTTTCAGGGCCTCTCCCAGCTGCTCCGGACCCATGTGCCCTGAGACACAAACAACCGACACTTGAGAAACACCGATCTCCTCTCCCAGCAGCAGTTCAGCCCATACAGATGTGGTGCTCTGGGTATACAGTTAAAATGTCTGTATCTTCTTCCTTTTTTAAAAATCAAAGAAATGATCACACCGAGCAGCAGCAATTTCAGCTGCACTGCAGATTAATTTCACACAGGTATTTTCATTCCTTAAACAGCACGTTACAATCATGCAACCACAACCTCTTCTCAACTGCAACCTGAGGGTTTTCTCGTTGTTTGTTAGCAGGGGGTAAAAGGTTGCAACAAATCCAAGAACAACTTGTGCTTAGACGTCACTTTCAGGAACAAGACCCAGCCTTTGAACAGCTCGCACGATGATCTGACAGCACAGCCTCCAAAGACAGAGAGATGCGCTAAATCGGTCGGAGAGCAAGGTGTGATGGGATGCAGCTTTTGAAGTATCAGGAGAGAACACTGGCAGCTGAATGAGCTGGACTCGCAGCTCCACATGGTCACAGCAGAATACTTTGCAAGGATATTGTTTTACACCTGCTGGCAGTAAGGGAGGCTGGCGAGGAAGGAAGAGCCTCACCAGTGACGTGTGCCCTGGTCTCGATGTGGCTGAGGTCTGCGGCCACTCCGGGGGTGTGGGCAATATCGTACAGGGACAGCTGGCTCACCAGGGGGCTGTTCTTCAGCAGCAGGGAGAGGGGCTGGCCGATGCCCCCCGAGGCCCCCAGCACCGACACCTTGGCATTGTTCTGTGAGCGAGAAGAAACCGCACGTGATTACCGATTTTTTTGGCATAGCTCTGGATTTTGGTTTGTGCTCGTAACTGTTAATCCTGAGCAAATTCAACCATGCGCTGCTTCATTTCAAATTAAAGACTCCAGAGTTTCCCCAAGCTGCCCAAATATACCAGGCACTACAAAGAGCCTGCACTACTCTGGCACACATTTTTGTGCCAAAAACTTGAAGTGAACTTCCTCCTTTTTCTTCTGCAATACCTTCCTTCTCTCTTGTACACTGACAGCAGCATCGTGGTGATAAAAATGATTCAACCCTGCACCTGGCCTCCTCCCTACTGAGGAGCTGTGGGGTTGGGCAACAAACATGAAAAAACACATCGGACTTGGACCACAGGAAGCTCACGAACGTGAGATCAGAATCAGGTGGAAAAAGGCGTTAAGTGTTAATGTATAGCTTCTGATAGAGTGCAATTTGTCCTGATTTAAGAGGCATATTAACAGAAAACCTGGCTGTATGTTGGTGCAGTGGTTAACCCTGCTGCCTCACAGTGCTGGGGCCCTAGGTTTAATTCTAGGGGTGCTGTCTGTGTGGAGTTTGTATGTTCTCTCCATGTTCACATGGGTTTCCTCCCACAGTCCGAACACATACTGGTAGGTTTATTGCCTTGGCTTGCCCATGGCTTGATGTGATGGCTTCCCCTGTGGCCATTAACACAAAACACACACCACCCCTGCGAGTGAAGACTGTACATGCCAGAAGGAGAAAAGGTCACAGGTCTAATAGTGTCGGGGCAAGAGAGGCCATTAATCAGGGACAAAGACCAGCAGCGTCCACGCCAGCGAGAGAGACTTAAACACTTCCTAATCCGTCTCGGAAACCTCTTCTGATCCGATCCCCCAGAAAGAACAACTCGGGGCCTCCAGCCTCACCCACAGCCACCCCCGTCAGTGGCCACAGGTCTAGGGGTTTGGCAAAGGACTTGCAGCTGTACATTCAGACGAACCTGTGTAACCTGCAGCGGATAAAAACAGCGCTTTCCTACCAGCCAAAACGCCCCGATGAAATGGAAAGGAAGTAGAGCAGGGGGAACTATACTAACGTTACACCACTCAAAGATCCTATTGCTTACACCATAAACAGCTTTGTGCAACAATGTTTCCCGTGTACAGTACTTGATTTTTCATTTTTATCCATTGTTGTAGGCATAAATTAGCCAACACTGGGGCTGTAAAAAAATGACTGTACATTCAACAGGATATGTTGCAATAAAGAAATGAAAAGAGAATGAAGATAAAAAAACAAAACTACATCTTTTTAAGGGGGAAAAACTCATTCAAGCCTGGCAAGAAAAAGATGTCTGGAAATTGATTAGGCTGATTTTAGCAGAATGGTGTAGAGCCAGTAAAAACCAAGCTATATCTGGTGGGGAGTTCTGATAAAAGCATTCAAGAATGCACTAGCACTGACAAACTGGGTTATTCTCCATTCAGGGGTTATTGGAACAGTAATATTTCAAACATCATACAGAATACATTTGAAAAAAAAAGTTCAGTTTCTTCCTTTTGCCAAAAAGAGAACAGTAGATTGTTTTACTACAGTTGACATCTCAGATACCTAGTTTTTGTTTTGTGCAGAAAAGTGCACTAGTCTTTTTCGTATATATTTGACCATCATGAAAGAATTTGTACTAAAAAGTAACTTCATCCTGGCCTTAATAAAGAGACTTACTTTCTGAAAAGCTCACAGTAAAGCTACAGGCCGAATCTCTCTCCACCACCCTACGCTGCTGTTCAATGTCACCTCCAGACCCCAGCACACAGCTCTGCCGGTACAGTCCTCTTAGTGCTGTGCTTCTGTGTTAGAATGAAGTCCGGTTCTTGACATTAGCAATACCGTATCGATCAGCCAGAGGAACCTGCTTCTCGACAGGCGTGCGCGTGTGACGTCACAAGACGGAGTTAGTGCATCAACACGCGGAGCACCTGACAGGGCGGGAGACAGTCAGTCCAAAAACTGGAAAAAAACCCTCAGCATCTTATTCTGTCCCATGCAATTCTAAATCAGTAATAATTTTAAGTAAAATTAAACTCAAGCAACCCCAAAAAAAACATGCATAACCTACAGCTACAGCGGGGACCTTGTGAATGACACACCTAAACTACAAACTATCTCAGCCAGTGAAAACAAGACATATAGGGTTTCAAAGCCTCTGCGCCAGGGCCTACAAATAAATACGAAACGGACTGGGTTACCGGCAGCTATCACAAGACACCTCCGTTAACGCTTCCCGACCTCGGATTAAGACACAGGAAATGGTGCTGCAGTCTCCAGCTGAACAAAGCCGGGGGGAAATGAGACTGCGTTGTGATGGCCGTGCAGAACAGGCCACAAAGCAGCCTAGCTCCTTAAGAAAGAACAGCGCGACCTTCCAGGGCTGTATCTGTGTACCCGGCTCAAGTCCGTATTTTCCAAAGGGAATACAATGTTAGTGGCCAGATAAAAACCGGCCAACTCGCCCGTCCCCAACTTTTAAAGCCATCAGTGATGCACTTTCAGGACCACCGCATTGACACAACCCCATTGACACGCAGCCTTGAACTAACAAGGGTTGCCAGAGGCATAATAATATAAAAAACTTAAGAGCACAGAGCAAGCGCCTAAACTCCTCTCAGAGGGCACGCCAAGCGCTGCGCTCTCCTGCTCGCTGACCTCACCAGCCTTGGCATTCTTAAAACTTTTCGCAACAGTGCTGCTATTTTACCTGCGATGAAGTGGAGAGACCCCGGGCGATGTTTAGTGCTGGTCTTGCAACGCGGGAAAACATAGCTCAATAAGACTTGACGTTAATTCACAATCAGGAGAACGTTTAATTTGGGTGTCTCTCTGCTTCCAGTGACTCCAACGTCCTCTACCACGGCAGCCTGGCAAGACAGAGCTAACTCGCGGAACTACCAACCTTGCCTATCCCTGCCCTCCCCTTTCACTTAAGCCTTTTCTCTGATTGGACAAATTACAAACATCACAAACACTGATTGGACAGTATATCCGTTCATCACTTTTGACTTGTTGCGCTAGACCGGGTGCCTGCTGATTGGTTGGATTGGAGAACGCTAGCTTCTGATTGGCTCACAATCCTTTTTTTTTTACCCTCTGCACATGACATGAGTCAAAAAACCTCACTCTCGCAACAGCTATTTCCGCTTGGTAACTTAAAAGCGTCACAGCAACGACGTTTCTTAGCTCTTGTTAATAATACTGTTAAACTTGGTTTTCAGTCACGACACTGCGAGAAACAAGTCACCCAGGAAACAACAAAACGTAGCGCGTTGCAAATTTTTAAGATAAATATAGAACGGTTAGCGGGATTTTGAAAAATAAAAATATGTTTAAAGATATTTTCTTTCTAATATTCGATCAGTAAAATACAGGCATACTGTATGTAAAATGCCATTTCCGGAAAATAACTGTGTTCGGGAACATAAATAAATAAATGATGATAATTTGCAATTTTAAAATAGCAGACAAATTAGTAAAACTCCTATCGTTTATTTGCTTGCGTGTTTCCAATTTCAACGTAAAAAATCGTGTCTTTCTGTGTTTTAGACCTTCGGTGATGGCAGGTCTGGTTCTCTGTGAACCTACGGATCTGTACAACATCCTGAATCAGTATACTACTCGAGTCTCCAAACTGTCCGAATCCAATTACCTCTGCCTCATTGGTAAGTATATATCACTTGACATGCAAAATCATCTAACTGCGACTAATGAAATATTTAGACATGATTGGAACAGTGTCCACAATCCAAATGAATGTTACTCTGCTCTTGGACATAACGGGCTTCAGGGGTCATTCACTGTGACGCTGGACAGATTACAGCCTCTGTCCAGTCGGAACATGCTGCAGTGGTGTGACAGACCCCAAGAAAACAGTCACACCAGATGTGCTCTTTGACTGTTTCCTAGACGCACGCACAAAAGCCGAGTACGACGAGAGTCACGTCTTCACCGCCAAACGAGCGAAACGGGTGAGTTTTCTTCCCCTGCTTCGAGCTGCACCAGAAATCATGATGCATGGTCACCGTGATTGTGAACTGCGGCGAAGGTCAGCTCTGGTCAGTCCTAGTTACTGACCAGTCCGCTAGAGTGTCCGAAAGCGCTTTTATAGAGCAGGGCGTGGCTCGGGGTAGCACTGCCTTCAGTGACATTATTGAGAAGGAATGACTGTCCGATTAAAATACAAAATATTCAGATTCAAGCCTAGATGCAAAGTAAGTGTGCGCTGTTTACTATTGGATTCTGTGTTTTAGTTCTGTATTTTATTTAGTCTCTAAGTTCAATTTCTACAAATGGATTTCCCAAGACTTCGAGAATTAGCGATATATCCATTGTCTTTCGTTTTCTCATTTCAGAGGTGACCACCAATTGTAAATCAAAGCCTTATTCCACCAGCCTCATAAAGGTGTACGGATAGTACCGGAATTATCTGTGCCACAATCCCCAATGCACCATACTGATATTTCGTTTATTTATTATTTTAGTAGGTCAGATAGTAAAATATGCGTACCTTTGCAGTTCATTGCAAACCTATTGTTTCTACATGAACAACTGACGCTTGAGGTGTTTTGTTATCCTTATACTTTAGGAAAGATTAATTTTTACACTAGCCTGAGCAAAACCTTTTTGAACAACAGCACGTTTGACAAATATTTACTTTACAAGCTGAGGCACCAAATCCCGGAACGGAGTTTCTTGAAATCTTTAAAAAGATTACTTTAAAAAAACACAGCAGTTCAGCTGCTGCCCACTAGAGGGCAGCACGAGACTGTGTAAACTACAAGCAGCACCATCGATTTCTCCGCCGTTGAACACCAACATTAGTCGACGAGAGCTGCGGGGTGGCCCAGGTGTTTGAACACAGATTGACCGGATCTTTCAGTTTTATTCTGTACTTGCCCAGACTCATCTGCATTTAACTGTAACTTGGATGTAATGGCTCATCCCAGGCAGAATGTCTGAAGCCGGAATCTCAAAATTACAACTTGCAAATGAATAGGAAAAGGCTCTGTGGTAAGGGTGATGGTGTATTGAAGTTTGTTTTTCCTTCTCCAGGACGAGAACGGAGAATTTGTGATTCCTGCCTGTGTAGAGGTGGAGTGCGTGAAGTACTGCATCGTATATGATGGCAACACAAGTTCCGTACATGGTTGTGGTGAGCTGCCAACACAGCAGGATCCTTCCTCTCTACAGTAGCTTTCACCTGTTGTAGCCATATCTGCCTTTCCTAAGACCTTCGCCAGTCCCTTCCGCGGTTTACTAAAATCAT